CGCACTCACTCTCACTCTCACCCACACTCACTAACACCCACCTTCACCCTCACTCACGCTCACTTACACTCACACTCACACTCACTCTCACTCACCCACACTCACTCACACTCACACTCACTCTCACTCTCACCTACACTCACTCTCACTCTCTCACTCACACTCGCACTCACACTCGCTCACCTTCACTTCATCACCACCATCACCTCTCTGGAATTCAATGCGTCTAGATCTCTAGACTTTCTGCTTACAGACCTCACACACACTGTTTGGGGTCTCTTGCCGGGATAATTTTGCTTTTCCTTCATTTTGTTTTCGTGATGTTTTCGATGTCGTTCATTCTGCTTTCATTTGCTTTCATTTTGCTCTCATTTTGTCTTCATTCTGCTTTCATTTGCTTTCATGTTGCAAAACATATGCAGTCATTTTTCTTCCTGACTTTATATTTTTCTTCCTGACTTTTTTCCTGTGCATTTTTGAGCTGAGTTTTATGTATCCGGAGCAGCATTATTATTTTGGAGCCAAAACCCAAAATTTTGGGCGAATTATGAATCACATTTGATGTGGGTTTTTGGAAATTTTGATTTTTTTTGATTCCGAACGATCTCACGAAGGCTAATCTAGCAAATGTAGATTGACCAGGGGTCGTTGGGCTGGGGTGCCGGAGTGTCGCGTGGGTTGTGTTTTTTTGTTGTTGTCATGAGGGAACCCTCGTATTGATCCAAATCCGTTAGCAAAAGTCCTTTCCGAATGGCCACTTTAACAGGCTTGCCACAATGGGTTTGTGGCCATATAGATCTCCAGCGTTGGAATCAGGTTGAGAGATTCGGTATGCGTGTGCCAAAAGAGACGGTACGTACAGGAATTGCAAGGGTCGTTTTTCTAGGGAACTAAGGAGCCGGCGGTATCGATATTCCCTATTGAACAGGCAACCAAGGAGATACACGGAACTCCCCAACCCCATACATTGCTGATGTTTTTGTAGCTTTGTCGATCTCTCTTCCCAATTCCAGTTCAGCTAAACTAAGGCCAGCACCTGAAAGCACGGTGAATCTACAATATTTTTTGTCTCCCATTAACTTATTGCCAAACATTTCGATGTCTAAGTCCAAATCCTATGAAAACCGTGCCCCAGTGATTTGTCCGGTTCCAAAACACCACGTGCCATAGGAAAAATTGGAAAAAAGGTCGTGTCAAAGCTTCCCGGTTCCACAATGCCAGGGTTCTCTTGCGCCCTTCTGAGCCCTTCTGACCGATCAAGCCTTCACCGCCCACCTTCGCGCGTGGGCTTTGGTCCGTCCTGAATCCGAGGTTCTCTCTCCTCTTCCATGGCTGCTTCTTCCAAGGCGCGCTCTCGGAACCCCCAAACCTATCCGTGCGTGGTAAAGAAACGCCTCTGGCGGGAATAGCGCTGAAGCTTGCAGCTTTGGCCGCATCGAGACAGAAACAGCAAGTGGTGCCCGAAGGACGTGGTCGATGCAACTAGTTGGGACACGAACAGATCCGAGGTCTTGAAATGAGTTTGATTCTATATGATTCTCATGTTTCGCAACTACACACCTCAGTTGCCATGTATCAAGTCTAGGTGATTCCTTGGCATCCACAAGCATTGGTTTCTACGTCAGCGCACGTTTCGCCCGGGTTTTGAGGCCTCCCGGACTTTGCGCGGCTCTGCTTCAAGGTGCCGGGCCGTTCCGAAGTCACGGTGAGAGTGGGAGATCGACCCATGGGAGGAGTCCAAAGGAAAACACAGGCGTTTTTAGTTCGAAACATCCAAGTCATTGTTTGACGTTACTTAGTTGTTTCACGTCTAAGAGTCTAAGATCTGTTGAGTCTGTTGGGAAGATCTGCTAAAATGATGGCGACTGACGGACTCTCCTGCAGAACTTACCTGTAGGACTCTTTGATGTGCTTAAGTTCTCTATATTGAGACCATCAGAACATGTCAGAACATATCAGAACTGTCTATTTTTGTTATCTTTTGCGTAGGTGTCCAGAGGTAAACCCTTGGTGAGGCCTCTTTCCCCCTTGTGTTTTTTTTGCCCAAGGTCCGTTTGGCCGTTGCACATCCAAGATTTTAAGACACTCTGTCACTTTCAGAAAGCTATAAACCGGGCCAACGAACCGTTCTCTTTTCTTCCCATGGGTTCTGTGTTCTGTGTCCCCGCTTTCTGACACGCACACCGCACACGCGTTCCTTTTTTTTCTTTTTTGCAAGGAGAACGTCATGTACGGTTTCTCGCTTCTCTTCTTCGTGGTGCTCGCTCCTTTGACGGCCCGGGCACCCGTTTTTTTGGTTTCCGGCGGTGGGGTCGCAGAGTGAGTAGATTGGCATCCAAGAGGTATCCCTTTGGAACTATACCCAGACACTCCATGTATGCCATATATGCCTACATTGACCCCTCAAACCACCCCAATGTAGGCATATATGACATACATGGAGTGTCTGGGATACATGGAATAGTATGGCATCGTGACTTCATCTTCCACATGTCCAGACTTTGGTGGTTTAGAAGAGTGGTTTTCTAAGTCCTAGACCGACAAAGTGGTGGGCTTCGCAGGAGCGCGTGCAACAAAATGCAAGTAAGAGATGTGTGGGGAAAGAACTTTCTATGTGCGCCCGCGATAGCCAATTCTTTAGTACCTTGGAAACCGCATTTTTGGATGCAATTCCCCACCACCTTTGGTGCACCCCATTTCCACCAACTAAGTGAGATGAATGACGATTCTTGCTCAAATCCAGACCTACCAACAACCAAACTATCATCATAGCACACTGGCGCAAGCATTGGACCCCAAACCTTTGGCGAAACCTTTGTGACTTACCTGGAGCCCCACCAGTCCACCACTGTAGGTCGCGCCCGTGAGCGCCACTTGCTCGTGCCATGAGCCGCCGCCAGTTTCCGATCGTTTGCGCCGGTCGCAGGTGATGAACATGATTGTGGGTGTTCTAGTGGCACCTTGGCAGACACGGACTCGCGACACATGCGACCGAACCTAGTCCTCCTCTTTCCGAACATGAGAGTCGAGAGAACGAGACTTACCCATGCCCCCGGGTTTCAACCGCGCACGTGGTCGGATGGACCGAGTATGTGGGAGCGGCTTTCCGAGTGCTTCGTGGGACCGTGAAAATCGAATCGCCCCGTGTGGCCTTGACGCTCCAATGAGAAGAAGCGAAGTCCCCCTCCACTCTCGCCAATCGAAAAGCAGATGAAGAAATGGTTCAGTCTGCGTAGCGGCGCGCTGCGCTTCCAAGAAAGGTCCAAAAGTAGTGAAGGGGAGACTGGTGACTTCAGTGACCCCTGAAGAAAAACAGCTAGTGTATCTTGGTTCTCGGCACGGCCGTAGCATAAGAATACCAATGATACTTTTTCGTTGGTCAAGTCAAGGAAAATCCCTTTCAGGTCCCCTAGAGACCATTCTCCTTCTGGTCTTTGACTCGCAAGGTCTGGCAATTCTCGCTTTTCTCCCGTCACTGGTATAGACCCTGTCTGTTCCAGTCGTCAATGTAGGAAGTCGTGGGCATCGTGGCAGCTGCGGAGCAAGACGCTGCCACCAAGAAATCCCTCTTGGAGAGCTTGCGCGAGGCGCCCACAACGCCGACCGCCCACGGGACGCCGACGCGTCGTCGGACGTGACTGCTGGGCGTTGAGGGTGGGGAGGCGTGTAGCTGTGGGCTTTGAAAGTCTCCCGAGAGGTCCTGGCAGCTTTTTGTGGGATCAGATGTTCAACCGGTTCAACCTTGGCTTCCTTTGACCAAACCTGCTGATGACTGTAGGGGGAAACGACTGTGAGTCCAAAGCTAGTCCATTCTTCGTTCCGGAGGCTCTCAACAAGCTGGACTTGCACATGATCAACACCATTACCAAGGCAGTTCTGCACTCGCACTCTGCGAGTTTGTTGAGACGGTCGTTGGACAAACGAGCCCCCTCGCAGGAGTTATGGGTTGGGTCCTAAGTCCTAAGTCAAGGAATCATGGAAGTGCAAAGTAGGCCCCTTGAAAGAGCACATCTTGTATTTTTTTGTTATACAAAGGGGGAGGTTCCATTTCATTCCTTTTCCATGTGATTCTCCCTTCAGTTCCTTCTCCCAGTCTCCCAGTCCAGTCCACTCCGCAGAAGCATCAGGACTTTTGAGTGTCCTATTTGATGGTCGACTGCTTTTTTCAGGGTGAGTTGAGCACCTGATGAATACTCTTCTCCAAAATGGGATCGACAGACTCCTGTGACTTAATGGGTTTGGGTCCTGGTGGTGAAACATCCTGAAAAGCGGAGGCCCAAAAACGGCCGGCTGGAAAGGAGTACGTAGAAGCGCATCCACACGAATAGGATTTGGTAGTTCCAGACCGGTCCTCGCTTGGACATTCTTTATCCATGACCGTCCATGCATGTTACTTACATGGGTCAGTTGATGGAGTAAATGCATGAAACTCTTCCCCCATGCATGGTTTGGGAATGATCAGCAGTACCAGGAATGTAACGATGCCAAAGAAACATCCATGTCCAGGCAATGCCCACCCTTCTGCAGTATACGATTGCAACGCTGCAGGATGCATGGGACAACTGAACTTGCGCCATGATGAACAGCATCCATGGTACACCGTGAGAGGACTGGTGGCCACCCTGATGGCCGACCGGAAAGAATGTTTCAAGCGTGACACCATGTAGAAGTGGATCTGCCCTGAAGATGACAATTTTCAGGAGCTCATCATGGACCTCAACGCACCCAGGTCGAAAGTCCAACAGGCCCCCCAAAAAAGACGCGTCTCACCAACCTTTCCAATGGCTACATCAACCACTGTTGCCTTTTTTTCCAGAACTGCCGCTGACTCATGATACCTCTCGAAGTCATAATCCACTGCCGGGGGCAGAGAACCTTCTTCTGAGTCTGCCTTGGAACCTGTGGAAAACTCAAGCAACATGAGGAGCTCAATGCATGCAGGTCAGTATCACTCATCGGCATCTGATGCTCCAGGGTACTCTAGTGAGAATTGGTTGGTGTGAACTGGACACGCCATGAGCTTCAGCATGTGAACCATGGCAGTTTTCTGTATCACATCACCCCGCTTGCAAGCATTTTAGAGTCATCTATTCATCTAATCTTCAAGGCCTTGTGTGTATAATATATTATAATTAATTAACTAAAATATATATATATATATATATTCTATTCATCTTTCTGCCACTTGGTTTTCTTCCGATCATCCGAAGACTCCACTTCAGCAGGTCCACCCAACTCTCCCCGCTCCGTGGACCGCGTCGGGTCGCATCGAACACGGAGGTCGCCGCGTCGCGTCCGTCGGTCGGCGCGTCCGTCGCGCGGTCGGCGCGTCGAACGCGGCCAGGCGGAGTTCGGAAAGGTGGTGAACCGACCGGACATCGTGAGCATCTTCTTGGAGGCCGCCCGGGGCAGGAAGAACAACCCTAAACCCTTAGGGGAACCCGTTCGGGTTCGGTTCGGTCCGGAACCAGACCGGCTGAAGGGCTCGGAGAAAGGCTCTTAAGGATGGGATCCCTTTATAGGTCGACCATGCACGCTAGTCACAGCCCTCGTGGTTAAGGTCCCTCTCCCTGTGGTTTAATGCTCGTCTCCATTTTACAGAGTTGGGGACAATGCCCAAACACAGTACTCACCGAGGTCGTTCGGACGTCTTTGTGTTCATTCCCTGGACCGGTAGGGGATGTGTCCCCTTTTTCGAGGAGTCAAACTAGCCATGTTTTCGAGGCTCAAGGTCGTTTCGGTGTGATCCTTAAGATGAATACGATCATGAATACTTGACAAACTGGTTGTGAGGCAGGGTGGCAATGTCCCATTGCCGGGGTCCGTGGTCTGTGTTTTGTCGCGTGTCACAAGCAGAGACCACTGCACCACGGTGGTCGTCCAAGAAAAACATCATAAGATGACCCTGCTTCCAGTGTTGTTCGGCCCCGTAGTCATCCCCCCTCAACTTGCCCTTCCACTGGTAGTCACCAAGAAAAACACTGCTCATATGACTCATATGACCCTAGGCCCAGAGGGTTCAGCTTGTTGAACCTTCTCTATTGACTCTGCATTCAGCTCTCCACTGATGTCGCCGGCAGTTGGTTTGGGCAGTCAGATGGTTCCGCCACCCTGCCAGGTGAATGCAAGGTTTGTCTGAATAAGTGGGTTGTATACTTCAGCTCTTTCATCCTTCATAAATCTATATAAATCTCATCAAGTAGTTCATGTGAAGGCCGCACACATAGATGTACCATTAACATCAATATGCCTGATGTACTTCATCTGTGGTTCATGTCACACCACTTGTTTTTCCACACCCCGTTTCTGTTCGGTTCAGGAGACGGTCCAATCCGCCGTGGAGGAACACGCCCAGGAAGATTCTACATGCTCTTAGGCATGTTATTTTTCTATATGTTTCTTAAACATTTTTTTTTCAACCCAAGATGTCAGTTCCACTTCTGAACCAAAATGACCAGCCCCTAAGAGAGGAGGTCCCCTTCCAAGAACCAATCAATAGACATCTTCCCCGAAATGCTGCCCGCTTCTGCGGAAGTTTGGAGCTGTGAGGATTTTGTGTGTATTGTCAGAACCTCCCTATGCTCAGAAGCAAGTTTCCAGAGATAACCCGGAAAAACTTTGTGCGTTGCGTAACCAGGATTGCGCAACGTCCTGTCTGATCTGAGATTCTTCGGAGAACCCACAACCTCGCTGACAAAGCCAATAAGGCGGGCATTGACATCGTCGCACTGCTACGAGATCCAGACTCTTGGACTGCGCACGTGGGTGACACGCACCGCACATCACCCAAGTGGAGAGTCTTCGTTTTGGTTTTGGTGAGCAGCACACTTGTTGACTTGAGAAGGCGCGTTTCCTTTTTGGTTTGGTCGCGTGGGCCTGGGAAGCTGATCAGCTATGTGCCCTCAACTCTTTCTGTTAGGCTTGCTGTCAAGCAAGCAGCTACCTGCGCTGCAGGTACTGAGATGTTGTTGGATGGGCAATGACTGCACCTTAAGAGTTCACGAAACAACTCAAGCATGGGTCTGTGAAGCCCAACCGCACTCTGCGAAGCCCCACGTGGCTGGCCTCACAGCCTCGGTCGTCACGCAAGAAACACCCTAGGCTCCACGCGGTGTCACCGCGCGGTGTGTTCCACCAGGCTGGCAGGTTAGATCCCTTTCAGCCCTCGAAGAATTGGCAGGTGAACATCTCCTGTGTCAGGGGAAGCAACACACGCATAGGATCTGGAGAAGGGGTCCCAGAACGGGCCAGACACGAAGAAGGAGTGTTCTTTTTGAAGGATTCCAGAAGGGGCCGTTTGATCTATTATTTTCCAGCTGGTTCCAGCCGCCGATGCTGATGAGGACATTGTCTTCGCTGGGGATAGTGACATGAACCTGGAGGAGTTTTTGGAGGAGAAGCGAATGAGTCGATCGACTCTCTGGGGGTTCTTGCTTGGTTTTCTTGGGTATACCCAGGAGGAGTGGACAACTTGCCCAACGTTTTATTTTCGGAAACTGGGTGCACTCTACGAACATCCAACAGGCGGAACATGGTGAGGCTTTGTTTTCCAAGGAAACCGAGGAAGTCAGAGAAAGTCTTAAGTGCATTTTTTTGGTGAATGAGAATGTGGATTGGACAATGTTTGTTGTTGCGGTGATCATTTATGATTGGACCATTGTCACCTGCGCCGCCTCCACCTAGAAGTTCCAACGGCTGGACAGAAGCCATTTTAGAGAAGTTCATCATCTTCCAAGGCAACAGGATGTGGGTTTCTTCCAAGATGAAACAAATGGATGTTTCCCCAAAGAACATCAAACAAGCACTTGTTAGCGAGGGGTTCTGGAACCAACCGGAGTGTGGTCCATGCTACACCGATTCCAGCATAATGTTCTCACTGAGTTTGTGGCACTTCCATGCCACACGAATGTGTTGGAAGCAGAGGCGTACTTGAACCGATGTACTTTGAACCAGAAGTCTACACCTGTTTCAAAGGTAATTACATGGCACAATCTCGGTGGAGCGCACCATCAATTCCACCCAAGAGGTCGCTTTCAGGCCAAAGCCAAAAGGTGCTATTTGTTAACATGATCCTCAACTTGTGGACACGTCCTTTACTTTCCCTTTTTGCTTTCCGTCATTCCACCTTTTCTACTCAACAGAGGTTCATTGCTACGCCGGGCAGGCAACAGATATGCATCAGTGCTCAGACATAATTCTGCGTGTCAAAAACACTCACTATGACTATCACACACGAAATGACGATAAATAAAGCCTGTCCCTTGGTGTCTTCGGTGCGTTTTGACGTGGCTTTCGGGGGGGCGTCTTTTCGTACACCCCGAAACCCGAAAACGCCTGGTTTTGGTCATTCGGGAGAACGGGGTTGGTATCCATTCTGCTTTTGGTGCCTGCATTAGTAATCGACTGGATACCACCTTCCTTGTCGGGCATTTGGCACAAGTTGGATCCTGGATGTTTGTTTTTGGGGGGCTTTTCCGTCATTAACCGTCACTGGTCACTATTGGACTGAACTCTTTGGTCGGCCAAGAACCCAGGATGCTTGTCCTAACAACTATAAGATACTATAAGTACGTACATCTTCGTACTGTTGTCGTTTCGCAAACAAAGGCGAGCAGACTCTGCAGCCAGGAGATTATCACTTTGCGTGGGGCCAATGTGACCTGGACTACGAAAAGGGTCGGTGTTGTTGAATCGCAATGGAATCTCTTCCACATATTTCTGCCAAAGAACTCTTCAACGCCTCAAAGACTCAAGCTGTTGATAAGGTGAGCAAAAAGATGGGCAGTCGTGTGATTCCACAATCTGTACATGTTGATGAGAAGAGGTCCCAAGTCACAGGGAACAGATGGTTCTCTATATGATATATATATATATACCTAGAACCTGAGTGACCTCTATTTTGGACCACCAACCACTGAAAATATGGTCTTTTCCTATCAAGACAGAGGTCAAATGGGTTCTAGGTATATATACACATATCCGATCTGGGCAAGATCCGATCTGTGCAACTGCAACAGTGTGGTAAAGGATGGCTCAACACAAAAGACCCACCAGATCCAGATCTAGGAGGGTGGTCCCATCGGATCAATGACACAGTCACTTAAGAGTTGCTGAGAGTCGCTTCCCCTACTTTTTAAGGACACGACCCAGATGCTCAGGAAGACAGGGCCATCCATCTGGGTTCAAGACCTTGCTTCGACCTGAAATCGAACAAAAAGAAACAGGCCTCAGAAACTCTCCCCTGACCCAGTGCGGCTGCAAACCGCACCCGATCCCTTAAGAAGGCGGCCACCGGTTCGGGCGCTGACCGCCGCTTGAGGTCGCCACTGTGAAGGATCTGGGACAGCTGAAGGTACAGACACTTGACAAGACATGACTGTGGGTGGCTGGCACCCGTTTGGCCCGGAACTCACCGTAGGTTGACCTCCACAGTAGCCTATTCGGAAAAACCAGTCGGTGCCCCGCTACGCCCTAGCCCATAGCCACATGGGGCATCTCTGACACCGGGGTTCCTTGGATGACCTATAGCCACCTGGCAAGAGGTAAAAGGACGGGCGATGAAAAACAGCACCGGAGGTTCCTCGGATGTACCATACCGAAGAGGTGTTCAAAGGTGAATGAAGACCGGGTCCTGCCTTCAGACTGGCGACCGAGACATTGACATGACGAAGGGCAGTTTGCCAGAAAAACCTTGGCTTTTCGATGGCGTTTCGATCCACACGACGACAGACATGTGGCGTGAGTGGTGGTGCATGCCGGACGGGACATTGGTGAATGATCGCGAGGCAAAAGCAGGTCCAAAAAAAAGGGAGGACGAGGAAGCCCATGTGGTTGTATGACCACAACCACGGTCAACAAGCGTGGGGGCCTGTGAGGGTCCGTTCTTTCTTTTCCAACCTAGTAGCTTCTTGTTCCGTTCGTAGCGATGGCCTCCAACATCCTCCAACCTACTTGTGATGGCCTCCACCTAATAGCGTAATTAGGTGCCCTTGCCGTGGCCTCAGCATCGTTCATGCCATCCTGTTCGACATATCAAACACAAGATCAGATGGTACCAGCGGGGACGCCCAATCTGATTGGCCATCCAACCAAGAACACCTTCGTTGGTTGTTTGGAATGCTTCTCTTCTCTTCATACCTGGATCTTCCAACAAAAAAGGCAGCATGTCTATACCTCTGAGACCTGTTTTTTATAGATTAAGTTCGGCAACTTTGCACAGCCGGGATCTTCGATATCGAGGATGGCTCACCTTCCAAACCCTGGAGGGACACGCAGCGGCTTTTGGGCGATCGGTCATCCCTTCGGCTTCGGTGGGTGCGACGTGTTTCGAGGATTCTACGGGAATTGAAGCAACGGCGCGGCAATCGCTGGTGAGCTGGGAGCTGGGAGCGGAGCTGCTTTCGCGTTTCCCCTTGCTGAAGCTGAAGAGTTTCTCAGCTTGAAAGTGAGGTTTTCAGGATGATGTGGTTCGAGACTGAGAAAGTCGACTTGACACAGACCACAGATGATCAAGGAAGAGTGATGCAAACATGATAGAAGTGGATGAAGAACGATTAACCAAAGGTGTGGCTTTGCACGTGAAGAAGCTCAGCTTCGCCCACTCATCCGACTCCGAAGAATCTTTAAGAGCTTTAGGAGCCGACCGTCTATAAAGAGGGTTCCGGCTTTCGAAGAAGCGCCTTCTCAAGGGTGTGGAAGAGCATTTCCAGGAACAACACCTCTGAATTGTTCAGCTTTCGCCAAACTTTGACGAGGCATGACGTTTGACAAGACAGATGATTCATGATGATTCATTTATTTTTTTGGGATAAATCATGTCCAGTTCGAACACAGCTGAGATCTGGGTCTCCAGATTTGATTCAGACGCTGCCTTAAAACGATACCTGCCTCAAAAACGGCCACCATCTGGGGCCCCCTTCGGTCCGGAGACGTTGGTCCGTGGTCTTTTTGGCGACCGGTCGCACCGACGTTAGCATGGGAGCGACGTTAGCATGCAAAACACCGGTCCACCTGCGAACAAACACCGTTCTTTTTTTGTTTTAGCCGTTTTGGTCGCCCGGTCAGTGAAACACTATGAACAAACAGCTGTGCGGTGATCCATCAGTTTTTAGCGTCCACACCGTTTTTGTTGCTCTTCATTTTGCACTGTCGGGCGACACTCGGAGGTGTTCGTCCTCGTTTTCGGTACCGGGCGGACGACCTCGGAGCTTAGCCACGCCGCCGGAGAACATGACGACTCACGGCAAGGGTGGCAGCATGTGGCAGCCCAGGCAAAACACATTTCGACACAGACACATCTGACATTTAAGACCGAGTCTCCCAAGATCTTTTGTTAGAGGTCCATTGAAGTCCTCTGGGTGCGAGTCTCGGCTCGCAAGTCTTTCACCGGGTCTCGCTTCGCATGTTGCCGTTGAGTAGGGCGCCCCTATACCCTCCAATGGGCACCCCTTTGGAACTCCTGGTGTGCTACTCATAATCATCACCTATTTACTATTTTTCGAGGCCCCTACTACCCCTACCCTCTTTTGCCTGGTGATCCCATTTGCACTCCTCACTTCCACAACCCTTTGGCGCCCAAGCAACCTATGACGCCATGTCTCGTCCCGTTTGCGAAGCAACGAGACGAGACTCGGCCTCGAACGTCCATCTCCGTCCAAAGCTGTCGACGCTGCGCCGAGCGCACTGGCCAAAAGCATGCGATGTGAGTGACGTTGCTCGTGGGTGAGTGGCAAGAACTCGGGTTCTTTTTTTTCCGAGTAAACCGTAAACCAGAAATTCTAGTCAGTAAAAGAGGATTTTTGGGGAAAGAGCTTCACCAACCATCATCATCCATTGTTACTGATAACGGGACATAATACCCAATGGACACCCCAATTCTGAGGTCATCCCAAATCTGAGTGAATCCAAATTGAAAGAGTTCACATTTCTGGTTGGGCAGAAGTGAAGCCCAGGCCGCGGGCGCCTCTACTTGGTTTTGGGACCTGCCCACTTAGTGGAAGTTCAGTGGCATGCAGATTTCCTGTTGTCCACCGAACCCGTTCACCTCTACCATCAAGACCATGACGTTTGTTTGTTTTGTGCATTTTACAAAACAATCTGTATTGTGGACTCTTAGAATTTTGACAATCGATTACATTTTTGTACCTGCCAGGAAATGGACGACAAATGACTACAAAATTCTTTTCGTGGGTGGGTTTCCTTTTTAAATCATCCGATCTCGGAATCATGGCCTTCCTAGTACTTGTGGATTGCAAGCATTCTTTTCTTGGGAGATCGATTCAATTATGAACACATGGCAAAACAATTCCAAATATATAAAGACCGCTTGGTGAGGAGCGTCCACACTTAAAGGATCTCGAGATTAGGCGTGATTCACCATGGAATTCCGGCGTGATTCACCATGGAATTGCGAATCTTAAGATCTTAAAACCTGAAGGAATCTTCCAGCACCACCCAGTTCGGGTGGTTTATAGACCCCCCTGAAGATGTATTTTCCATCTAATGCTGCAAACACCCGAAATGGGTGGTCCTGGTTAAGGGCGTCGAGGCGTCGAACCGAATGGCTGCCATGTCCCTGAACCCATCTCCCCGAACGACCGAAAGGGCCAAGGTTCTCCGGAAACCGATCCTCGCCGTGGGGACACGGGCCTCCAACGGAAGCTTGCACAAATACGCACACACACACACACACTGATAGCAGTGAAATGCAGCATGTTTTGAAGTTCCTGCTAAGCAAGTGTTTTAAACGTCTCAAGCTGGGATATGTTGGATCCAAATCATGGAGGTACCCAAACAGATTAGAGTGCCTTCCAATACATGTTGAGAGGGGATTAACGTTTGGGTTGAGTTGGCAGGATGAATCAACATCATGTAGTAGATAACAAGGTTATTCCATTAAAAACATACACTGTACATATATATATATATAGTACATTACACCCAAGAATCCTAATAAACCACAATATTTTAACAATGTAATCCAAAGGTCTTGCCAAACGGGTGGCTTTTGCTAAAGAAGCAACCATGCAGTAGGGTGTGGTCTATGAAGCACCCCAACACTTATAGTTTCGGGCTTAGTTCCTTCTGCTTCCTCTCAACTGGACCTTGATCCTGCCAGTCATATGCTTGTTTCAAAGATTAAGCTATGCATACAGGCCTCGGTATATAAGCATTGGCACGGCAAAGCTGCGAATGGCTTCTTCAAGAAGTGATATTATTGTTTTTAATGGTCGCTGCTACATGGATAGCTGTGGTAATTCATATATAGAACCAATACACGAGCCCAAATCCAACTTTGCAGAAGTGTACAGAACCAACCCAGGCTCCGCCTGGTCATGTGGTGATTCGTGGTAACTCGAACAGTCGCGCAGCTGCTTTGCCGTCATTCCAGTTTCTGACCTGCCAGGAAGAGGTGTCTCTCGCAGATTGCCAGCAGCTTCAGGAAGCGGCTCTGACCAGGGCCAGTTTGGTGGGGTGGTATGTTTTTTCTCCTAACAGTGTGAGTGTGGTCACATGAGGGGTTCATATGGTAGCAGTTAAGGCCTGGTTTTGATCGAGCCGGCTAGTTCGCTGCATCTAGTACTATGGGTTCAGAAATAGATGGCACACACACCCCCAGATGTCGTTTAGATGGCCACAGAAACAATCTTTGTGGTCCTTTTGGGGAGTGCTATTTGCTCTCAATCCGCTATTGATAAGTAGTAGTCTATGATGACTCGTGTAGGGTGGCCCTTTGGTGGCCCCTTCAAAACTGCAGCAGTTCCTGCTCCATAAATTCAATTTCTGAATGCCTTGGCCTTTCTTGGGGGGATGAACGTCTTTGAAAGTCGCTTTTGGTTTGGGTGAGGATGACATCTCTTGTTTGACAATTTTCATTCATAGACGACAAAATGTGACAGTATGTGACAGTGCTTGATTCGATTTTAGACTTCCCATGCAGAAGCTGGGCTTGGCCATGCCTGCGCCTGGGCCCCTGGGCCCCTGGGATGCGTGGACGGCGCGTGTTGGCACCAGGAAGAGGAGAAGCGGAGAGAAGATGCCTTCCAGGGAGGCGTGACGCATCTCATCTCTGCCCAGCAACGTGTCCACAGGCGCGTGAGCGTCGCACGTGGATGTGGACGGATGTGGGGGTGAGGGTGGGATGGGTGGGACATGGTGGGATGGGTGGGACATGGCGATCTTTGGTCAGAAACGTGAGGCAAATCCTCCAAATCTGCATGCCTGACTGTAGCAGCCAATAAGTCAGGTATGTAACATCAAGCATGGTCAGGGTGTCAGAGACTGTGGTGGTCCTAAGGTAGCGAACTGGTTGAGGGAAGGTTTTCTTGATCAACAACTGCTTGACACCAGACCATGTGCGATTGTGGAGCCGTGGAGAATCGAGCACAAGCGGAGAGGATACCAGACATGGCTGTGGGGAACTAGGCACCAGGATACTCTTGGTTGACCTACCTGGTGTTCTTGGCGCTCCAGGTTGGCGCTACCCATCCCCACATGGGTTCACACAGTCTACACATGTCTACCTATAGAGCCTGAGTGATCTCTGTTTTGATAGGAAAAGACATGAAACGACCACCTTTTGGATAGTTGATCCTCCAAAATAGAGGTCACTCAGGCTCTATAGGTATATACATGGCTTGCGACCTCCCGGGGGAGTTCACTCCCGCTTCACCGAAGTCCGCCACCGTTCCGAGCGGATCATCCGGAAACGTCCTGCGGCGCTGGGCCGAAACCGTTCGACGACAGAAACAGTTCCTTCGGTTTGGAACGGGGTCATCGTTCGAAAGGGGTCGTCACATGGTTCTTCAGGACGATTCAAGCTGTTGAATCAATGATGGGCCCGGAATCCACTATAGACAAACACCGTTGACAGCGAGAGAAGCCCACGGCGCCTGTGCAGAATGGTGAACTGAACGAGGGGCACATCAATTTCAGTCCGAGTTGGACCAGTGAACTTGTCCAGCAATGGTTCAGTCAGAATTGATGAAACAAATTCTACTTGGATGAAGCAAAGAACTGCGTTCCGCACAAGCCAGTTTTTCAAAGCTCCCAACTTGTTTTGGGACATCGAGCGGCCAATGTGTGCCACCTCCATCCACCTCCACTTTTTTGATTTTTTCCAGCCGCCCAAGAGCGGCCAATTCTCCCAGCCGACCCATCCCCTATCAGGCTGCGGCTGCGGCTACCGGGCGAGGAGGGCGACCGGAGGAGCGACCCGAGCGACCTGAGCGACCCGAGGGCACAGCGGCTCTGCCGTTGAAAAAATCATCCAACAGGTCCGACCCAGGAAAAGGGGATAACGGGATAACCTTTAATATCCTTCGATCAATCAAAGCTTCAACCTTTGTCGGGGATTGGGGACACCATGTGACACCCGTCCAATCAAGAACAGGAAGACAAACGCTATAACCGTCTAGTCAAATCTCCCAGGGAAACCACACAGGCATACAGTACTCTGGATGTTCTCGTGAAGGACCAGATTTAGCTTG